TCGACTAATCAAGACCCTGAGGGTTATTGGAGCGGAGCGGGTCATGTTTTTATTTTTTTAAATGGGTTTGGATCAAGGGTGATTCGCTCTAAACCGCCCCATTGATAGGTCTAGCCTATAGGCAGTGTACCTAGTCGGATTATAGAATAATTTAGGTAAGTCGGGTGGCGAACACAGGGAATGAAATTTAATTAATAAGACAATTACTAAAAGTTAAACTAAGAAACAAACTTAAAATGAGGGTTTTACTGATTTTGCAATATCAGAAGAACTTAAATCATACAACTACCACATATCATTATTAAATAAAGCAAAGAAAACGAATTGAATGCAGTATTAAAGAGTACTTTTGTTAGATCCGAATCCCCCATTTTCCATATGGTTGATTTCTTATTAAATTACTATTGTTGGTTATCAAATTAAGATGTAACTAGTTATCATGATCAAATTCCTAGTTGTTACCAATTTATGACTTACTATGTTATGATCAAACACAAGTAAACACGAAATTGGTATAAAGATGAATTTGGCTATGAACGATAAATCTAATAGTTACTTTCGTATGATCAAGTCAGGCAACCAAGCACAAATTATGGATCAATTATGCTCTCTAACACGGTTAAAGTTATTAACTTTAAGATCTAAGATTTATCCAACCCTAGCTCTAGCAATTTAAGGACCATAAACCACTAGGTAATCAAGTTCATGCAAATAGAAAGATCATCCACTACACAAAACTTATATCAAGGTAATCAAAGACTGAATTTGTGATTCTTATGTGAAATATTGAATATGTGATTTCTACGGGAAATAGTAAATATATGATTCGTAAGGGAAATACTAAATATCTAAATCCTACGAAGATATGGATATTTGATTCCCATGAGAATATTAAATATGAGAATCTTACTGCAATGTTCTTACGAGAATATTGTTATATAGTTCCTTCGTGAAATTTGTTACAGGTTTCCTTAAATGATTTCCCATGGGAAATATAATAAAAGACTCCCTAATGGTATATTAGGCCAACTGTGGGGATGAAATCCTTGTGTATGCAAATTATGTATGGTAATTTTGTAAAACCAAATTGTGAGATATGACTTCGGGTTATGATCTTTATATAACCACAATGTTAATTTTGGTTTAATAAAGTACGAGAGTTACAATACGAGGGTTACAGGTGGTATCAGAGTCATAGTTTAAGTGAACTAGGTTTTGAATGTTCATACATAGACTTAAACTGTGAAACATGTAAAGAGGTGATTCAGAGGATGGAATCTTTTTAAGGGGAAGTGAATTGTAATGACTGAAATTTTGATTACTTGACTATACCTTATTCGGTGTGAAGAACTTGTTTTGGATATAGTATATTTGAGAAAATGAAAGAAAACAGAAAAACTGAAAGTCGCGATGCAACAAGGTTATGTCCCGACACGTCAACGTGTTGATATGATAAACATGTGTCACCAGATCATGACACGTGTCAGTGAATAGGTGAAAAAATTTGTGACACGACAAGAAGTTGGATTCACTACACGAAGGCTTGTTAGAGTGGCAAGACGCGTGTTCTAACAAGAATACACGCGGTGGAATTTGGGGAGATACATAGGTCGTGACACGACCAAGGGGTTGACGCGACGCGACTTCACTAGCCTATATATGTGGTTCATGCATTTGAGGGGTGGCTTTTACCCGAGGAAAGAGAAAATTCGGTATAATGTTTCTACGTGAATATTGTTTAAAGGTACCTACGGGAACAATGATTACATGGTTCCTATGGGAACAATGATTATGTGATTCCTGCGGAAATTACTCGGAAATTACTGAATATTTGATTCCTACGAAAAATACTGAATATGTGATTCCTACGGGAAATACTGAATATATGATTCCTACGAGAAATACTAAATTTGTGAATCCTACGGAGATATGGATATTTGATTCCTATGAGAATATTAAATATGAGAATCTTACCACAATATTCTTACGAGAGTATTATTATATAATTCATTCATGAACTTTGTTATTAGTTTCCTACGAGAACACCTGTTAGATGATTTCCTACAAGAAATGTAATAAAAGACTCCCCGAGTGGATCTTAGGCCAACTGTTAGGATGAAATTTGTGTTAGATGATTTCCTACAAGAAATGTAATAAAAGACTCCCCGAGGGGATCTTAGGCCAACTGTTAGGATGAAATTTGTGTGTATGCAGTTTGTGTATAAAGTTTATGTTTGGTAACACCAATGAGTTATAAAATCTTATAAAATTGTAAAGGTTTTTATAGAACCAGATTGTTAGATATGACTTCCGGTCATGATATTTATACAACCACAATGATAATTTTGGTTTAATAAAAGTACATATGTTATAGTAGAGATGACAAAGTCATGGGAAACCTTCCGTAACCAATAATAAATGTATTTTTTTTAACACATAAAACAAATTCAATGGTAAATAATATATAAAAAAGTAACTAAACATGAATAAAAGTGATAGTCTATTACCCTTATAAGTAATTAATCCTTTTAAATACATATTTGAAATAAAAATGCTTTCATTTATATATATTTATCGTAAATATCTATCTTAAGTAAATAAAAAAAAGCAAACCCTTTCAAATAAAATAATAAAATCATAAAAAAAAATTTCATTTCCCATAAATTAACTATTGCTTGGGCTAAAGGGAGTTGGTGTCGGACTCCACCTCAACTCCAAATGGGTTTTACCGAGTTGGAAAGAAAATAAGAAGGGGCTTGGTGAGAGAGAGAAATGGAGGAGCTACCGAGAAGGAGTTGTTTTCTCTGCATGCAAATACTTTGGCTGGTGTATGGGTTTGTATCGAACCATTTCATCCATCCCAGACCATCCAACCTTTGGATGTAGGGAATGAAAAGAAGGACTTGACAAGAATGAGGTAGAGGGTGATATGGAGCTCGACAATGAGCGGAACACCTCCCCTTCATATCGGTTTGTCGAGGTTTTCTGTGAAACTTGACACAACCTTAACGAGTCTCTCTCCTTTTGGAAAAATTTGGCTGATGTGGATGTTAATTTGGGAGTAGGTGGCATTCTACAATGCCTACACCATTTCTCACGGCCTTAGGCTGAAGAGAGTGATAACATCTTTAGCATGTTGCTATATAGGATTTTTTTTTAGCCATGTAGGATGAAGAGAGTAATAACAAAAAGGTAGGGAGTGGTTGTGTTATTTTTATTTTGAAAAAAAAAAGAAAAAAAAATTGCCTTCTTAGCGAGTTCGGGGCGAGCATGGCTAGCCTCCGGCCTTAATGATTCCCTACAAGTATAAATCCGAGTTCTGACCCAACTGACCAGGCCTTTATTACTCTCGAAGGTCAAAGACTCAAAAGTATACGCTTTAGAAAAATCAAAAGCCAGATTTCATCATCCAAAACAAAACGGGTTTCCTCTTCGGGTTTACTATTCACTGTTTGGGTTTCGCATGAAGGTTCCATATATCAATCAGTATCACATGATGATGCCAATTTCTTACCCTTGACTAAAATAAATTCAAACAGCAGACCAGAATTATCAACCCCACTCCTCATACGCCATCAATATATTAATCCATTCCATCTCTTCTTTCCTTGACCACCCCCAATTTCAATTTGCAGAACACCACCACTCTCAATTCTCAAATGGGTATTTGTGTCGGAAAGCCAGCCAATGTTGCTCATGCGTCTTCTGGTCAATTTCTTGGTATGTAAAATTACAGTAGTAATACTCTTTCTTCTTCCGCTTAATGCTTTGATTGTGATTCCACTTGATAATCGCAATTAGGGTTTTTAATTGTGTGATTCCGAGCTTTCTCAGTTCTAATATCTCCGTTTCAATTACGAATTCCATTATTTTTAAGTTCGTGTGATTCCGAGATTTCTCAATTTTGATTTTTCTAACTTGTAGCTTATTTATTGTAGACGATATGATCAATAACAAGGTAAAATCCAGCTCAAAAGATTCCAAGAATCAGACAAAAACAGTCACCTTCAACAAAGGTTCAAAAACACCCAGACACGAAAATCTTCCTGTCCCCATTAATCTCAAAGCCTTTAGCTTGCATGATCTGAAAACCGCCACCAAAAACTTCCGACCAGATAGCCTTCTGGGTGAGGGCGGTTTTGGTCAAGTTTTTAAAGGGTGGATCGACGAGACCACCTTTGCTCCGGCCAAACCTGGCACCGGATTAGTGGTGGCTGTGAAAATACTCAAGGCTGATAGTCGGCAAGGTCACCGGGAATGGCTTGTAAGTGATAATCTTTCAAATTTCAGTGCTTTTTTTTTTGTCTTTTATCAAGAAGTCAAACTTATACAACGAATTTTGTTTTATTTTGTTGATTTGCAGACTGAGCTTGAATATATGGGAAGGCTTCATCATAAAAATCTGGTCAAACTCATTGGGTATTGTGAAGAATGTGAAAACCGGCTTCTTGTGTATGAGTACATGCCTAAAGGATGCTTAGATAACCACTTGTTTAAAAGTGAGTCCCACTTTTAATCGCTTTTAAAAAGCTTGTCTTAATTATTATTTTGTGGGTTCATAATATAAAAAAAAAAAAAACAGTTAGGACCCACAAATTGTTACAAAATTTCAATACAAATTATTGAAATTACTGTACGCTTTCTTTTCAGAAAGTGTGCAACCGATGCCGTGGGCCACACGGATGCGGATTGCCATTGATGTAGCAGAAGGGTTAGCTTTTTTGCATAGTAAAGAACCGTGTATCATTTATCGAGATCTCAAGGCTTCTAACATACTCCTAGATACGGTATTATTCAAAAAAAATTTATCTAGATTTTGTTTTAATTTAGAAAGGTGAAGATATTTTACATTATCTATGTGTTTACTAATGATTTTTTGTTGTTGAATTTTTAGGAGTTCAATGCGAAGCTTTCTGATTTTGGTTTAGCTAGGAATGGTCCTGTAGGTGACAACACACATGTTTCAACTAGGGTTGTTGGAACAAATGGTTATGCTGCACCTGAATATATTGCAACAGGTATGTTTGATTCATTGGATTGCGTATATAATAAAAGATGAATAGTATAAAAACACAACATATTTTCATTATTTTATTGTTTTATGCACTTGTCTATTTTTTATAGTGATTAAATCTTTGTACACTTTTTTTTATCGTTTTAAAAGCTATATTTTGTTTCTCGGTTAAAACAAAGATGAAACACAGATTAGTTGTATTAGCAAACGTACCTTAACCACTTTATTGATTTATCCACGGAATATTATTATTGTTTTGTGATTGTTATAACAATAGTTCAGTGGGTAAATCAATAAAAATAATAGTTCAGCTGCTAAATCTGTAAAAATGTGAAAATATATTTTTGTTTTTATGTATTTTGCCTTGATATCAAAGCTGAAATACAGAAAAAACAAAAAGAAAATTCATTATTTTATGGAAAACATTTCATCATTTTAATTTCTGATTTTATTTTTTATTTTTTTTGTGATTTTTAAAACAATAATGTTGTGGCTCAAATTCAATCGATATTAAAAAGTAAGTTCAGTAGCTACATCAAAAAAAAAAAAAAGGTCTAGTGGCTAATCGATAAAGGAAAACATTTCAATGGCTAAATCGATTAAAGAATATATTTTTGTTGCTAAATCGATAAAAATGATGTGTTTTTCTGTATTTAGCCCTAATATTAAAAACCTGGGAACAAGTTTCTTTAAATAATAAAAAATAGTATAACGATTTAACCACCGGCTAAATAAATAAAATGATGAAAGGTGTTTTTTCCGTATTTTATCTTACAATAAAAATTCATTGAAAAAAAAAATACAAGTTCATTTAATCCTCCTCACAAGTTTCCTAATAGGGATTTAATTGTTTTTAGGGCACTTGACTCAAAAAAACGACGTGTACAGTTGTGGTGTGGTTTTATTAGAACTACTATCAGGAAGACGAGCCATAGCTGAAGAAAGAGCGGGTGGAGTCGAAGAGACATTAGTCGAATGGGTGAAACCGTTTCTAAGTGACACCAAACGGGTCCTAAGAATCATGGACACACGGTTAGGTGGTCAATACTCAAAAAAGGGTGCACAAGCCGTGGCTGCACTCGCATCAAAGTGTCTTCATAATGATCATAGGTTTAGACCACCTATGGCTGAAGTTCTTGCTTCATTACAAAAGATTCAAAATGTTCAAAAGGAGGTTGTTAGGGTTTCCCCTTGTAGGGAAGAAGGAAAGTTAGGGGGTTTTAAGGAGATGAGTGGAGCTATGAACTCAAGATAGAATGGTGTAGTTTTTTTGTTTGTTAGAAAGTTGGTAGATATATGTATGATAGGTAGAAAGTTTATTGCGTGGTGTACGACTTTTTATGCATGATGTGCAACTTTTAGTGCGTGATGTAGAAGTGATTGTAGATAGCAAGTGAAAACGAGGTCCTCGGTCATTATTAAGTGGTTGAAGCAAGTCGTTTTAATAAACAAGGTCCTTGTTCATGAGTTCATCATCAAACTGTTGTTTGCTTTCGATTATTTGATATGTTTGATTGATTAAATTACTCGTGAATTAATCCAGTTATCGAAATAAATTTATGTATATTACATAATTTCCCGACATATTTTTTAAACATTTAATATTTTATTCAAAGATCCAAATGGATATTTAATTTGATCAGAGCAATTTGTGTGAAAGATTAATCTTTTCAGGAGTTGCCATCAAACCAAGAAATAGTATTCTTGGATCTTTGAAATTTCGAATCCGTTTCTTTCGATCTACCGAAAAGGTAATTCGAACAATCATTTTGGTATAATACAAGTTAGTAAATGGTTTGGATGTTTGTTTGTCTTGTAGCTTATCATTGCTCAATCATATACTTAACTATGGTAAGATTGATACATTTGTTCCATGTAAAAGTCTAAAGGCAGTCTTTTAGGTCTTCTTCTTCGTTGGATGACAGTTTGGAAGAAGCACACATAGGCACAAGAAATGTAATATGCAACCATATGATCAACAATATTTACATGTTGTAGACATCGGAAGAAGCACACAACCTACAAAAAAAAGCATGTAATGCAAAATTGAACAAAAGCGGGATCACTACATCTTAAATCGGATTGTTAACCTGTACCATTTCAATCACTAATTAAGACCTTAATCAATGACTTCTTTTACATCTTAAATCGGATTGTTAACTAGCCTGATACAAAATTGAGTTTTCACTTTTTGAAACCTTTTGGGTCAAATAAGCGAAAACATATATTGTAAACTAATGAAGAAAAGTCTTTAATCTTTGATCTTTCTCTCACACTTTACAAAAAGATAGAATCCGTCACCAATTTCAGCAAATATTGTAATCTAATGAACAAAAGTCTTACCTTGACTGACAAAAGGAACCACGTCATGAGGCTATATTCCATACACACACCACCTATGGATTAACAAGGCTGAGATATTTCTTTCTGTTGTGACTCGTCAAAAACTGGAAATAACAATTAAACATATCACGTCTCTTTCGTGTCGCTTTTTTTGACTGAAAACTTCATGCGAAAATAATTGGGCAGCAGCCTCATCGCTGCCCCCTCCTTCTGTTGCCGGAGCATTCACCGGAAGGGAAGACCGGAGACCTCAAAGCTTCCATTCTTGCCATCGTTGTTATCTCTTGTCTCGTATCTCTTTACCATCTATCTTTCCCTTAATCTTAGTTTATCAACTGTGATCCTTAGAGAGGAGGGAGTCGTACCCTCCCAACCCACCGAACCAACTGTCACATCAATTTTTCTCTTTTATTTTTCTTCATCTTTTCGAACCCACAACACACGAAAATCCTATCTTTTTGAACTCACTCAACCAACTCAATTAAAAAAAATACAAAACAACTAAGGTACAAGTTTTAAAACACATGGTACAAGAGAAAATAAGAAAGAGAAAGTAGAGAGATGATGAAGTGTGTTAGTGAAACCAATCAACCCACTCGTTGAAGCGGGAGTGGTACCGCCAATAACTCTATTGCTAATTAAGATTTTACATTTGATTGTTTTGTATTTTTTTTAATTGAGTGGGTTGAGTGGGTTCAAAAAGATAGGATTTCCGTCCGTTGTGGGTTCGAAAGGATGAAGAAAAATAAAAGAGAAAAAGTGATATTGCAGTGGGTTCAGTGGGTTGGGAGGGAATGACTCCCTCCTCCCTTAGAGGAGAAAATAAATTAAAAATATATATTCATATATTATTTTCAAAATAGTTAAAAATGTTTAAATATTATAAATAGACCAAGTCAAATTAAACAAAAAATATAAAAAACAACTTTTGATTATGATTCGTTTTTTATCAAATAACTAAATAAATGGTTTTTAATTAGTTAACAGAAAAAAAAAATTATATTGCGCTAATTTACAGACAATGGTTCATATATCAATTAACCATGATCAAAATTAAAAAAAAATCAATAGATAAGTAATTTCTAAATCAATCAATCATAACGCTAAATTGTAATACTAAATGGAAAATAATTTGTAGTTTTATTTAGATTTTAGACGCAAACCGCTGGTCACTATTGAATGATATGATTCCGATAAATATATATTTCATAATATGGTTCAAAATAATTATATATATATATATATATATATATATATATATATATATATATATATATATCAACTTAGTGTAAGACTTATTATTTAATAGTTAATGTCTTGTTATATTCAACAGGTATATGCAAAAAAAAAAAAAAAAAAATTAACTATATAGTTTTAT